CCTTTAATTTTCAGTTTCCTTCTTCCCTCCGGCTTATTATATATCTCTTAGATTATCAATATCTGCAGCCGGCCTCTCGTGCGTGTGTGTAAGTTTTCTTTGCTTGGATATATATATATATCATGGTAAGATTTTAATTGTTATATGGAAATGCATACGAGATATTGGTGCGGTTCAATTAGAAAGCTGAGTTCTTTTTTGTTTTGAACTCTGTTATTTGATTGAGCCGTGCCAATATCTCGTATATTCGTATTATACCGATCACTCAACATCCATGTTGAATCTCAGTTGCTTTATTTTTTTCTTCTTGATTTTGTCTACTTGTTTTCCGTCCTCTCTTTAGTTTCTAAGTATTTTGAAGCTTTTTTTCCAGGCCACACTCTCCTAACCCCAGAACTCTCTCTCTCTCTACATATATATTTTTTTTGTATATTTTGAATATTCCAATAATTAAATGGAAATGAATGCTGTGTGACGAAGTAACAAGCATTTCTTTTCTCTACATCCCCAGAAAATAAAAGAAAATCGTCTGTTGAATGTCCTAGAGAAAGAAATGTTTTCATTAGGTGCAGTAATAGACGCTTTGGTGCATTAGCTGGAGATTTATATCTATCTACATACTGAGCAGCCACAGGGCGACGGCCATATCTACAAAGGTGTTCCAATTCCATTATATATTCTCTCAAAACTTCACATTTTTTTCTTTTCTATTCGTATATAACATATCCATGCATTCATATATATTCTTCGTGACGAGCTACTATGATTATTATAAACATTATCATTATATTCAGTTGACAATTATTGTTTGTTTCTTCATCATAATCAATGTTGGGATTTAAACAAATTAAGATGCGGTTATATGTAGTAGGTATAAATGCAAGTAGGGCAAGAAGATCGCTGTTGTTGGAAGTAAATGGTTTGGAGCTAAAAAGATTGTCTGCTTTTGACAAAAATAGTGTTGAGTAGGTGAAAGATTTATGATTATATGCTTTATTGACCTCATTATTAAAGTCATTGTCAAAGCTCCAATATCGTACATTATCAGTTTTCTTCCTAAGTGGGTAATAAATAATTGACCAACTTGACGAACCACAATGAAAATTGCTTCTAAGAAGCACTTTAGAATATCATGAGTTATGTTGTCTAACGATCGTTAATCAAGAATTACTGCCATTGATTGGTTTTGGCTTATGTCTCCTTTTGACCGTGTGGTTTTGCATTTCAAATGAATTTATCTTCTATATACTGAATTGTTAGGTTATTTTAAAAATAAAAACGAATAATTGTCCAATAAAAATGAGACACCAGAGATATAACGCTTGAATGAAACAAAAGAAAATTAATTGGATGAACATTATCATTGTTGTGTTGTCCTAGCTTTTTCAATTGTTATTATGTAAATTAGCTTACCAATCACCAATATCTGGACGTAGTACTTTTATGTTGAGTCAAATATGTAGTACCGTAAGTTTTCATTTGGGATTTTCGTTGATTTGATGTTACTATAGGCCACCCAAAAAAAGCTAAGGTTGACATATATCTTATAGTTTTAGCCTTACATGAAGATTTCCAGCTCCCCTTCAAGAGGATTTTCCAGCTGTAGAAACTCAGAACCTCGGTTGTTCTATGTTGAAAACTTGAGATAATGGAAGATTATAGTTATATTGGAAAAAATGTCTATGCAGTAGTTAACTTGATATACAGATCTCCGCAAAGTCGTACAATGGAGCTGATGACCTAGCATCAAGGAAGTTGGTGATCTAGTGACAGGGAACCCGGCAACCTATGGTAAACTGCGGCTGTAACTATAATGGTATTAAGGTAGCGAAATTATTTATCGGGTAAGTTCCGACTTAGCACGAACTGCGTAACGATTAAGTAATGTCTCGGAGAACTTGGTGAAATAGATATGTCTGTGAAGATGCGAACTACATGCACCTGAATAAAAAGACTATATATATGAAGTAAATTCACATGGAAGCTGGAATTGGCTAAGCTCACCCAAGTCCTTATCATCACAGTTTAGAGGATCCAAGAGATGAGCTCTGGCAGGGAAGGAGATGAGTTTGACTGTGAAACCCAATTGTTATTGTATATATTACTCGAGGTCACTATAGAACTCATAAGCTTCAAATTTTGGATCCGCCTCTTTAGAGTGTGACTGCTTTTGATCTCCAACATAATTAACCTCTCAATGAGATGATTTTCTCTTACCTCATTTCCAAAATAACCTACAAATTGACTCACTCTAATGGCCTGCAACTAATAAAGATCCTTGTTCAAGATATTTTCACTAAGATGAGGAGCAAGTCTCCAGATCCTCAGACTATATATATATATATATATATATATATATATATATATATATATATATAGTTCCCAGACCAGAAACAAGTCTCCAGACCAGTTGTATTGTCCTTTTTTGATGTGAAGTGTTAATAGCAGTAGTATGTAATAGGTATAAAAGAGTTTATTTTTTGGATAGCTAGTACTGGATGACTGTGCTTGCTTTGTAATTCTTCGTTGGTGACTAATGAAACATGCTTAATTACCAAAAAAAAAAAAAAAAAAAAAAAAAAAAAAAAAAACTAATTCCCAATATTATTGCTATATACAATGTAGTCGTGAAATTTATCAAATATAACAAAATGCATTTTTTCACAAACTTTTCATGCCTAATATAGTTTACATTTTACAAAATGTTTCTAGTTTTACTTACTCCGAATCTGATCATTGAACCACAATTATGTGCCAGCTCTAGTAGTTCATCAATGATCAAATCACAAGTTAAAAATCATGTGAAAGCTCAGTAATTAAACCGATTTAATGATATACTGAAAATTGCATGACTAGTCTGTATAGAATATACATAATGTTTAAGGACTATATAAAAGGAGTATATTATAAGGTTTAGGGAATCCAAGAGTTCTTAATTTGAGGTACTAATTTCGGGGAAGTACACAGTTAGCCACTAATTAGAAATATCTTTACTCTTTAGCCACGGTTTAAAATGTATTTACTCTTTAGTCAGTGCTTAATAAATTTTTATCCGCCCGGACGAAAATACCCCTGTGCTAGACATGGGTGTTGTGTAAATATAAGGACATAGTGCCCTTAACTTCATGAATACTGTATAAATATTAAGGACAAAATGTCCTGTATTTGCACCTTCCCTTGTTAAACTTTAGGACATCATGTCCTTAACTTCATATGTGTAGTGTAAAGGTTAAGGACATGGCGTCCTTAACTTGTATTTGCATCTTCTGTTGTTAAACTTTAGGACCTCATGTCCTTAACTTCATATGTGCTATGTAAATGTTAAGGACATTGTGTCCTTAACTTCATGTGTGCAGTGTAAATGTTAATGACATAGTGTCCTTAACTTTACGAGTGTTGTGTGAATATTAAGGACATGGTGTCCTTAACTTCATGAATGTTGTGTAAATATTAAAGACAAAGTGTCTTGTATTTACACCTTCCGTTGTTAAACTTTAGGACATCATGTCCTTAACTTCATATGTGCAGTGTAAATGTTAAGGACATGACGTCCTTAGCTTCATGTGTGTGGTGTAAATATTAAGGACACCATGTCCTTAATATTTACACAGTACTCATTAAGAAAGGGTAAAAATATCTTTTCGTATTAATTTTAATATAGTAATGGCTATTTTTGCTCAGCATTAAAAATATTAGATAAAAACTAAATACCATGTTAAAAAGTGGCTATCACGAGCCATTTCTACACTAATTTCATGAAGAGCAAAACTACTTTAAAACCCTGCTTCTTGAGTAATTCATATAAAAAGTTGCACTACAAGGATGAGCCAAGAATTGTGGGTCGTCTGTTTGGGCTCAATTAAAGCTCAGAAAACTCGGCTTTAGTTGAGCCCAGTTAATCAAACTTTTTTTTGTCTTCCTATCTTTTGAGAAATAATTATGGTATAGTATGACCAGAAAAAAGAGAAGCATCAATTGAATGGATCCGCAATAGAAATGAAACATCTACATGAAAAGTAAAGAAAGGCGATTATATCACATGCATTTTTGGATTCGGCCCTCCCGAGACCCCGCGTATAGTTGGAGCTTAGTGCACCGGACTGCCTTTTTTTTTCTTTTATTCTTGAATCTAGAACGAGAGGATTGCCCCTTAATTCCTATTTTTAACTCATCGTATGGGGCCAAATGATCTTTTTGCCAAACTCCACTCTTTAATTTTGATGATTCCAGCCTTCTGTTTCTTTCAATTTGCTTTTAAAATAAAATATTAACAACATTACCTCATCTTTAATTTGAACTTTATGTCAATATTAAAAAATACAATAAAGATCTTTTTAAAAGTACGGGACATAAGTCCAGTGTTCTAAGAAGCCGAAGAAATTTATGCTCTGTCAAAAAAATGAATAGAAAAGAATAATCTTTGTAAGAGTGACTAAAATTGTACTAGAAGTTAAGCACGTATAACCATTATTTAAGAGAAACAGCTTGTGTCAACTAATGCAAAGAGCTACTCTTTCTAATGAACTCTACCATTACTTGTTGTACGATACTTCTATAAATTCTTTATACCATCTACATATATGTAAGTTATCAGTATTAATTTAAGTTAAGCAGACAATAGACATAATAAAGCAGCAAATTAGCTATTGACAACATGACTAATAAATTACTAAATACAAAAACCACTCTTTCATATATGATATACCGGATACAAAAACATATAAACCTTCCTAACAAAATTCCAGAGCCTGCCATTCTTTTCCCCCAAAAATTGCAACTCCGAGCTCAAAATTGGAAGGCCATACTTAGACATGATGAGGAAGAAAAGAAAAAGAAAAAAAATAGTAATGACACATGAGAAAAATGGATGGTCTAATATCTATTGTTCAGACTCTCCAAAAATATTTGGAGACACGACAACATTTTGGAGTACCTGTCGCAACATAGCCTAATATTGTTAGTTAGGTACTAAAACTTATGATATCAATGATGATGAGTAACTATTCCAAGAAACCAGTTTTTGTTAAAATGGCATTCCTCATTTTGCTAAGGTCCCTTCCCTTAAGAGTCCTTCCAACTCCTTCCATCATAGAAAATGAAGCAACCTGATTTCTTGCTAACCTTCTTGCTATATATTCATGTGGTGGAACCATTCCATCTCCATAATCATCTTCTTCATCTACTTCATTAATATCAACATTTCCATAATAAACTGCACCATCAGAAGAAACCAATGAACCATCTTTTGACACTCTTTTTGATTTCTTGTCATTGATCTTAACAGGAGTAGATGATTTCTGTAGTGGCACAGCAATGGACTCAATAGTACTATTACTACTTTTTTTAACTCTTCTTGAGGATGATGAACATGAAAAATCTGTTTCCTTCATATAAGCCCATACATCTTCTTCTTGAAAGTCACCATCTTTCTGTGTTTTTCCTCTGTTTCTGTTGTTGTTATAGCCACCATACAATTCTTCCATGTGTTTGGTTTTAATTAGATCAATCAAAATTTCAAGAATGTAGAGATAAAAAGTTTGAGGCTTTTTTATTTGAAGTACCAAAAGAGCTTGCCAGCGCCTTACAACTATTTATATAGCTAAGAGAAAGGGTTGTTTGGCTTCTTTTTTTATGAATTATTTTTGGTTATTCAGGGGAATCATTGATTAAGAAAAAGAAGAGGATATAAGAGAATGGTATCAGGAATCTTCTTTACCTTAGGTGTAAATAGCTCCAAAAAAAGGGCAGAAGCTTTTTTTCTGAGTTTTCTCTTAATGGCAACCTCCACAAAGAAGATCACAGATTTCAAGGGGCTAAAGTGTTCTGCAGTATCAGAATGGAAAAGACAAGCAACACAGAGATTTATAGATAAATATTACATGAGCTTTGAAACTTTCATCACCCTCAATACTGGAAACTGAAGGCAAAAAAGCTAAAAAGAAAATGATGATTTTCATGAGAGCAGCTCCCAACTCTCAGCCAAAAATGGTTTGAAACTGAAAGCTAATGAGAGGAATATTTTTGGTCACATGAAAGTCCAAAGAAACCTACAGAAAGTTGTTTAGAAAACAAATGAACTTTTGAATGTAGAAGAGGCATTTGGAAATCTCACAAGCCAAGTGTAAAAAAAAAAATACTCTCTCACTGAATTTAAGAATGAAGAAAAAAACTTTAAACTTATCGTCTAAAACTATATAGTTATAAATATCTTATTAAAGGTAAAATGAAAAGTTTAAAATTATATTATTTCTAAATATAGAATGAAATTATTCTTTTTGCGACAAACTAAAAAAAAATAAAAATTATTTTTTCAGACTAAGAGAGTATGTTAGGAGCCTCGTTTATTACTCTGTTTATGATACTATTTTCTTATTAATTCATTCAAAAATAAACACTTCTATATTCAAAAATAATTTAATTTTAAGAATCATTTCATTCGTCGTAAGAAATTTTATGATCACTTAAATATACAAACGTATCTAATAAAACAAGTTCTATAGGTCTTTCTTTCTTTCCTAAGTCAAATTACTTCACATGATTAGAGTGAATAGAGTAATCAAAACATAATACACTCCATTTTATCCTTCATAGGGTTAGACTTAGATATTAGCTGTATGTGGTGGATAAAGGGATACAGATGCATCAATCAATTCTCCTGAATTCTTGAAACTGGTATTTTTGGATTGGGAAAAGTGGAGGGTAACGATTGGTCGAACCAACTTTTCACTGATTTCTGTAGTCTTATCCAATTCAGGAGCCAACTAAGCTTCGCATTACACCAGAGCGAAAGACCAGTAAGCGAGAGAAATGAACTACATTAGGGGCCTAGGAGAGGTGCTAATGGAGTAAAAGCATTTAATTGGCTCATGCACATTGATATTTGTGGTGGGGTTTTCTTTTATGGTATTTTAATTTAACTTGAGTTTAGCGGGGTAACTTTTTATAATGTCAAGACAACTACTCCCTAAAAGATAATTGTTCATAATAATTGTAATTAATCACCTAAAAATAAAGTATGTAATTTGCTACATAATACAATACTCCCTCTATCTCAATTTATATAATAGTGTTCGGATTTCGAATACAAATGAGTTGTTTTTTGGCTGTAACTTTTTCATATAACTTTTAAATATTTTAAATTATTAATTATTGTGACGTATAATATTTTTTATGTAGTTTTCGAAAATATAAATTTTATTAAAAAACTTAAAGATTTGATCTTTAAATATATAATCAAAATTAAGAAGTTTAAATATCAAAAAACGAATAATATCACATAAATTGGAACTGAGAAAGTATAACATAATGATAATATTAAAAATTTATATTGTCCATTGTTTAGCATAAGATAAATCTTGAATCCCTTGAACGGGGACATTGAAATTTCTAACATCATCCCATTAGTGATTACCAAATTCCAACTATTCCCATCCCTATCCTGTCTCAAACTTCAAGACTTCTGTTTTTTTGGGATTATTTCTAAGTTGGTTGTTCTAATGGTAAGCACCCTCCATTTCCAACCAAGAGGTTGTGCGTTCGAGTCACCCCAAGAGCAATGTAGAGAGTTCTTGGAGGGAAGGATGCCGAGGGTCATTTGGAAATAGCCTCTTTACCCCAGGATAGGGGTAAGGTATGCATACACATTATCCTCCTCAGACCCCACTAGTGGGATTATACTGAGTTGTTGTTGTGTTGCTGAATTGACTGTGCAAACGTAAAAAAAGCGAAGTGCATGTCCTGAGATCTGGGATTATTACTGACTCTTTAGAGTGTCAGATGACAGTGTAACCCCTACCAACTAAGGCCAATTGAAGTTATAGGGTGGGCCTTCCCTTTGATAGAAGCCAACAATTCCTTCTGATTATATAGTGTACTTGGGATTCAAACATATGATCTCAAATAAATTAAATTTTGAGTTACCTTTTATATATATATATATATATATAT